TAGACTATCAAACACCATCGAGTTCTGATTGTATGGCTTCTTTTCATCATTCTGAACTTCTACGGTTGCCCTTATTTCTTTGGCGTTTCCAAACAGCTTGTTGATATGAACAATGATTGTGTGTGGCCTCTCATACTGGCTAGAATCAGCAGGCTCTAAAGTAGTCTCTTGCATATTTGACACCTCAAGGTTGCTTCTGTTGAGCTCTGTTGTAGAAGTCTCTATTCCTTTAGACAAAGCATCTATCTTATCCATCATCCTGGACATCTGCTCTTTTATCTCTCTTATCTCATTTTTCTTTTTCTCAAGCATGTAATCTTCGGGTGCATATATTTCCACTATTCTCGAAGCTTTCTTAGGATGCAACTTCTTAACTGCGTTATAGTCTGCTTGATCACGAAACCCCTTGTTCATCATGAGAACCTTCTACTATGCTGACCACTCACAAATCGACACCTTTTGATTATGTTATGATCATGCAATGCAGATAAAGAGAAAAACCACGTAAAAAAAGTTAGTACAAATAAGATAACAAAATGACAAAATGCAACAATAGCAAAATAAGTAAACTAATAAGATAATGCAAAAATAAAAATGTGAGTGCAAATGCAAATGCAAATGCAAATGCACGGGGTGTTAATTCCAAAAAGTGACCACTCATAGAACAACCGTTCACTTAGACAACAAAAATTCAGTAAGTACACCATGTAGTCAAAATACAACTGTGATTCTCCATCTCTTCATTTCCTTGAGTTGTACTCTTCATGGAATCTAGTATTGCACTTCTAAAATTATCGGCGTATTTGATCACCTTTTGATAACGTCGGATGTCCTTAAATTGAATCTTGAAATCTCTATTTTTACCTCCAATACGAAATGGTCTTCATGTCTTTGTGAAAGGTTTTCTTGTCCTTGGTATGACTATCTATCCCTTGAGTCAACGTCTTGGCCTTTGCACCTTTAAGGAATCCTTCAATCAACTCCAGATCTCTTCATTCATCGGGTATCCTTCTTCATGGATCGTTTGAACATCTTTGGATCTCCTGGTTTTGACTACATGGTGGAGAATTTCTTGCCTCAATATGGCCATCCTTCTTGTTAGTCAATCACTTGCGAATTAACACCCCTTGATGACATGAGGATGCAAATGTAATAAAATCACAATAAAATAGACATAGAACAAAAATGGGTTAGTGCGCATTAGATAAAAAACAAGATAGGGGATATCGTAAACATCAAATAAACCTACCCTCACATGCTGGCTACCCTCACATGCTTTAGTAGATCCTACCCAACATGATATCTACCCACATGCTTTGTTATTCACAAAAAATCCTAATCGCATGTTTTTCTAGTTCTCATACTTACTGCAAAAATAACTTTGAGGAAAATATTAGAATGAGTTTCCCCATTGTGTCTGCGGACGGAGATTCAATCATAAGACGGACAGAGTATTGGTATCACTAACAAGGTCCTCGAACTGTCTTTTGCTGGTGCCCCATTGAACTTGACAGACCCTCGACCCTAACACATTATAGGCTTAAATAGGCCAAGTTCAATTCGAAAGGATACACTTCCCTATGTCCATGCAAGGAAACTCAATGTTTCGCTCGTAAACATAAGGCATGCACCCCAGAGGTTACTTGCTAAAGCCCATGCGGAGAAAAATAATTTTTCTCACGTAAGCGTAGTGTTCACCCCTACCTAACGGGACAGAGCACAATAAGAAGGCTCTAATTTTTCTCACGTAAGCGTAGCGTTTACCCCTACCTAACGGGAAATAGCACAATAAGAAGGCTCTAAATATCGAAAGGTTGTAGCAACAGTAAGGGGAAACCCATAATCCTCTACCTCGATCCAAGAAAAACAACATACTAAGGTCAGAAAATTAAAACACGCAAATCACACGTTAGTACAACTATTTATTTGTTAATCAAATCACAAATTAAAATACAAACAATCAAGGGATCAAAAACCAAATTAGAACGAACTTATAAATTTTGTTTGCAAAGACAATTAATTAATCGATTATCAGCTTGATCCTATAAAAAAGTCCCCAGCAGAATCGCCAAGCTGTCGAAACAATTTTTTTATGAGTGGCGAGATTTTGATAGAACGAACTTATAAATTTTGTTTGCAAAGACAATTAATTAATCGATTATCAGCTTGATCCTATAAAAAAGTCCCCAGCAGAATCGCCAAGCTGTCGAAACAATTTTTTTATGAGTGGCGAGATTTTGAAAACCGTGTCATTTTTAATTATTTCTCTTTAGGTTTGATTTTTAATTAAAAACAATGTGATTTTAGAAAACCTCTCGTTTCAAAAAATTTGGAAATTCCTTTACGACAAAAACAAATATGATTCGAGGAGTCGCCACCAATCTTTGATTAGGGTGTGATTGGGCACCCAAAAATGTTTTTGTCATTTTAAATAAATAAAAATTAATTTTAATTAAAACAATAAATTGAGGTCTGCATTACCAGAAAATGAGTTCGGGAGTCGGTTACGTGTGAGGAATGATTAGAAGCCCCACAGCGCCCTATATCGGTACCTAGTCGATTAATTAATGTCTTTGCAATGAAATTTACAAGTTCGACTTTAATTTGATTTATGATCCCTTAAAACAATAAAAATATATAACATTCAATAGCACCAAAATAATTAAATTAAAATTACTGAGTCATTAGAAAGATAAAGAATATTCGATTATTTAAAAATATCGAGACCAAATCTTTAGGTGAGTTCTAACGACCTTGTCTCAACAAATTTAAATAGTCGAACATTTTTTTTTCTTACGTTTTCACATTTTAAGGTGAAGAATCAATATTTTTTAGATGTCGCTAATGAGATACACTTTTAATTTAAAATCGTCAAAAGCAGATCTCTAATCAGTTAAGACAACCCACTTAAAACAATTTTAAATTAAAAAAGTATTACCCTTAATCCAATTATGTAATATGAGTCACGTGAGGCTCTCATGTGAAACTTAATTAAAAAAGTAATCATTTAAAAACAAACAAGCACTTAAAAATATCATATAAAAAGCATTTACAATCAAGGATTAATAAATATATTTAACTAATATAACAAATATATACATGCTATTAAACATGATATATAATAGGACTAAAAAAAAACATAACACTTGTAATTTTACAACTAATCATACTTGTCAAAACAAGGGTTGAATAATAATAAATAAAAATTACCGTCTTAACTACAAAAAACATAATAATGATAAAAAAAACTAATATACCACTTTAAATACTAAAACTAAAATAGAACTATGGTTAATAGAATGGACTGAAATTATAATAAACCCATCATGCCTAAAACCAAAGTACAACATCCGATGTCTAAACAGCAAAAACTAAATACCATAAAACTTAGGACTAAAATTAAATGTGCATGAAATAAAGAGACTAAATTAAATGTAAAAACATTCGATTTAAGGATTAAAATGAATTATAAACAAATATTGAATGACCTAAAGGCCAAATAAACCGTTCCTAATCAAACAACCCCAAGTCTCTTAAGCTACACCATTTTGGGATTATAATTAATATTCTAAATTTGACCTAACAACACATAAGGCTAACCTAGTATCACCTACGAAACTAAACCCATTCTATGTTGTCGTTCCTCTTCATTTCTCTCTTTCAACACAAACGTTACTCTCTTCTTCTTCTTCTACTTCCTTTCATGGCCGATTGCAACCCTTAGCCACCATGGCCGCCGGCTTGGTGTCTATCTCACACCCCGACCGACGATTAAAGGAATCAAAAAGACTATTCAAATGATGACAACACGAACCCCCCAACTATCTAACTCAGCTGAAAACTGAAACCCATAACCCGAGCTCCTTACTCCGACGATGAAACCAAATTAAGGTAAATAATTTTCACTCTATCTCTCTTTATTCTTACTCTTTTAATTTTAAAGTGTCGATCTAAACACTAAACCCCACAACCCATATGCAATATCTCTTGAACAAATCTCAAGGATTCGGTCTTAAGCTACGATGGTTCAAACACGCTCTCGGTAAGCTTCTAACCCTTATCCTCGCTTCAAACAAAAACCATACACATGAATATTTGCTGGAAAAATAAACAAATGAGATAAATACCTCTTTATTAATTCTGTTTTGTTTTTTTTCAAATGAAAAGATGAAGAACCTTTTTTTTACATTGCTTGATTCGAATAAAAGGAAAAAAAACTTCACTCATTCCCCATTTTGTTTCGAATCTGAGAAAAGTATAAGTTCCCTCTTGTTTACCCTTTGTGTTTTGCTGCTGCCGAGACCCCCCTCTATGATCACTAATAAATTTTTGGGTTTTTTTATGGTTCTCCTCTCATTCCCCCTCTTTTTATCACCTAAATTCCATTGCATGTTGTTGGATTAGTTAGAAGTAGGTGAATTATTTCTCTGATTTGGTGAAGTGAATTATTTCTCTGATTTGGTGAAGTGAAATCCCGAAAGTTTAGGGATTTTCGGTTGCTTTTTCTTCTTTTCTTTTTTTGACTTGGATGATTACTTTTGGTGATTGATTGGTGTTTGTTGTGGATGATTTGTGCAGTATCAGTTTCAACAATGGCATGATTGTCGGCAGCAGCTAAACGAGTCAATTCTGGATCCGGGTTACACTTGGGCTGCTCTTGGGCTCCGGGTTTTAATTTTTTCAAGCATGTTGTAATTGGTCTTTGTAGTTTGGGTCTGTAAACGTTGTAAAATAATAATAATAATAATAATAATAATAATAATAATAATTTTATTATAATAATAATTATAATACAATAATTATTATATAATATTTATTTCTCGGACAACAACGGGTGTCTACATCTTCCTCTAATAAAATTATCATGCCTTTCAATATATAATTGGTGTTCGCTTTTCAAATCTTTTTCCTTTATGATGTATAAGATTAGGTTTTTAGTTTATGATGTAATCTTTTTCCATTGTCAAAATTTCTCGCCAGTTTTATATTTGAACTCGGTGACTCTGTTCATAACTATGTATCTTGCTCACTGTTTAAAGCTATGGCCGACTCTTTTTTGTCCAGGTGTGCATGCTGGATTACCTAAATGCATTCCCGTTAACTTAAAAGACATCGAAACTGCTGGATTTCAAGTCGTAGACGAGGTGTTGTTGGAGAATTTAATGGAGAGGGGTTTGATCAACCCATCAGGAAGAGAGAGGAAACTCCCTTTAAAGGTATATATGATTCCAGGTTTATATCGCAACAACTCTAGTTATGAGAAGTGTAATGACCCCAATAGAACATGTTCTCTCGGTAGGAAGTTTCTGTTTTCTCTCGTGCATGAAGGCATTAATCGTAACAAAATCGATTCGACCTTCTTGATTACTAATGGAAATAACAATAGGATCACATGTAAAGCCAAATGGTTTGTAATTGAGATAACAATGCTAATTTACCCTCTTATTTGTTTCTCTCATATGCACGAAGTGGAATATGTTCATTGCAAAATCCCATTTATTAATTAGGAGGAAAGGGTTAATCAAACATGTGAAATAATGTTGTTTTTAACATAAAATATGGATTGTTATTGATTCGTTAATGTGTTGGTTTAGATTCTGGGTGATGGAGAGCTGAATGTAAAGCTAAACTTGAAGGCACGTGCCTTTTCAACATCTGCAAAGGAAAAGCTTGAGGCTGCTGGTTGTTCTCTCACTGTACTGTCGGGGCGGAAGAAGTGGGTAAGCCATCGGTTGCAAAGTGTTAAAAGTTAAGTTCAAAGTTTGGCAACCAACTTTGAAAAAATGATTTTCAAAGTTTGGTAAATGTTTTTTTGAAAATGGTTTTTCAAAGTTTGGTAAATGTTTCTTTGAAAAATAATTTTTCAAAGTTTGGTAGATGTTTGTTGAAAAATGAAAATGGGATAATCACAATTAATCCCTAGACTTTAGAGTATTTACAAGATTAAGTCCTTAAGCTTCAACTATAAATACCCTAGCTCATTTAGTTTCAAAACCATCCCAAAATCATTTTCTTTCTCCCAATACTAGAGAGCTTTCTTGTGAGTAGTGAGTGTTTTGTAAAACCTGTACTCTTAGTAAAAGATCTGCAGCAGTCCGGAGACGTAAGCAAAATTGGCTGAACTCCGTTATAAATTTCGGGTATTATTTTTCCGCTTTTATTTCGCATCCTCACTAATCTGGTTATAGGGAAATTACTCGTACTCTGTTTATTTCCCAACAACTATTAATCAGAGCTTTTGGTTGTGAATTTTGTCAATTTTTGCTAGGTTACTATTCATCACTTTTCACGTGAATAGTGAATTTCATGAATAGTGAAATTTTATCGGCGATACGAATTTGTCGACGGAGGTGTTCTAATACACGGCGGATCGCGAAAATTGTCAGAACGATCCAAAGAAGCCAGATTTGAGTGGGAGAGATGGTTACAGACGAAGGGAATGTAAAAATTGAAAAGTTCGATGGTGCGGACTTTGGCTTTTGGAAGATGCAGATTGAAGATTTTCTGTACCAGAAAAATCTATAGAGAAAATCGCCTCAGTGACAAAAAATGCCTTATAATATACAATTTTAACCAACTTTTTCCGGATTTGCCAAAATGACCAACAAAATCGCAATGCGATCGCTAATTCGCAACGCGATCTCCATTATCGCAAATTCGCGTATCGCAAATTCGCGTTGCATTTCGCGTTGCGATAGTTGGAAATCACGTTGCGATGGTCTACAGTGTCGTTGCGATTTTCCCAATTCGCAATGCGAATAAGTAAATCGCAACGCGAATTGGGAAAATCGCAATGCGATACTGACTATCGCAATGCGATAATACAAAATCGCAACGAGATACTGACTTTCGCAATGCGATTCTGACTTTCGCAACGCGATTTACATAGCGCCATTCGTATTAACGCGTATTTTTTTTTTCAAATTCCAAACACGAATGTTTTCTTAATAAATCGGAAACTGAACCGTCCACAGTAATCGCAACTCATAACCTCAAACCCAAAATCACAACACTCAGTCCCATCTCCATCTCTCACTCTCTACGGCGAAATCTGTCCCCATCTCCAAAGATTTCCGTCCCCATCGCCGGCGAAATCCTCACAACATTCACAGTCAAAATCCCTCACAATCATTCAGAAATGGAAAATCAACCTCCGAGGGTTAGTTTTTTATTTTTATTTGAAATTTTTGCATTATTTTAGGTTTTTTCATATTGAGATTGATGATAAGTTTACTGGTAATTTCAATAATAGATTAACCATTTCACTTAGATTTCTTATTAAATTCATTGATTGCTGCCAATACTGCTAAACTGTTTAGCCTGTGAAGTTAGTATTTGTCTTTTGGTTGAAGTAATGCAGAAGAAGAAATAGTTTCGAGAATGAAATCGCAACGCGGAAATAACTATCGCAACGAGAGAATCGCAACGCGAAAAAATCACAACGCGAACCAAAATCGCATTGCGATTTTCATTTCGCGTTGCGATTTTCATTTCGCGTTGCGATTCTCTCGTCGCGATAGTCATTTCGCGTTGCGATTCTCTCGTTGCGATAGTCATTTCCGCGTTGTGATTCTCATTATCTCGTTGCGATTTTCATTTCAACCAAGGCTTCATTGACATTAAGGAATAAAGTTAGCCTAGCCACTACAATTGCTTCGAAGCTTTCACTGCACAAAGAAAATTGTTTGAAGAAACTGCTTCGGGCCATGGCTGAGAGTACAACATCCGGGTGGAGATGCTAATTTGACCCATTTGTGGCTTCAGACCATGACTAGCGATCTACCCGACAGTATACAACGTGGTGAGGAAGAGATATGGTTTCATTTTCCACCGGCGTATACTTGTTTTGGGCGGAAGGAGTTCTGCTTAATCACTGGTCTACGATTCGGACACGATGATGTAGGCCGGTACACTCGTCATATCACCCGCCCATCATGGTTATCCAGGGTTTTTCCTGATGAGTCAATAGAGAAGCCGAACTTACACGTCGACGAAATGAAGAAATTGTTTAATAAGAAAGATGGTTTTACTCGGATGAATGATGTCGATGTTGTCCGAGTATGCCTTCTACTACTTTTGTATGCCGGCTTTTTAGGCAGAGAGGCCAGACAACCTATTCCTTAGGAGCTAATATTATTGGTAGAGGACCTAAATGCATGGAATCTATTTCCGTGGGGTTCATATATATGGAAAGCTACCTGGACTAAGTTGTCGTCTGCCTTTGATGACCGTAAAAGTTTGCGGGGCGATGGGTCGAAATACACTTTGTCAGGCTTTGTTTGGGCCTTTAAGGTAAGAATTTCTATATAATGTTTTCAAAATTATAATTAATTATTTAACAATTACTAATGTTTGTTATTATATTGTTTGTAGATTTGGATATTCGAGGCTTTTCCCGCCATGAAGACATATGCAATAAAAACTTCAAATGATATTCTCAAGGCTATTTCCTGGAAGAGGAAACGTATGTTGGATTGGGAAGACTTAATACCATATGCGACAATAAATAATGTAAGTTAACACAAATACTATCATATATAAACAAGTTATTAATAGTAGATGTTTAACTTTCTTTGAGTTTTTATATTTTTAGGAGGCCAACATTTCATTAATTAGACTGACACCCATGGAGGCTGAGCTTGCCACTGATTGGTGGCAAGCTAGTCAGCGTTTTCTTGATGGCACGAATGACGAGCAGCCTCCACTTCCTCCACTTCGAGAGCCATCACCTCACCCAGAGCCATCACCTGATCGACCCGACTATACACCTCTACAACGAGAGCCATCACCTATCCCGTCACATCATCGAGCCTCATCTCCACCATCACCTCATGATAGGCGACCGGCAAAGATGCCACGACTTCTATCTCCCTGTTCTCCACCTCCACGGGATGAGTCAAGGGAGTTACGTGATGAGGTCAATGCCTTGCGTGAGGAGATCGGTACTCTACTCGATAACGATGGTGCATGGCGTGTGGAGGTGTCTACTTTACGTGGTGAGGTTGCCGCTCTACGTGAGATGGTAGTATCGTTGCAGAATGAGGTTCATACTCTACGCAACGAGGTAAGTTTAAGATTTTCCATATTTAACTTGATGATAAATTTACTCGTAATTTCACTTAAATTAACCATTTCACTTAGATTGCTTAGTAAATTTATTCGGTTGCTGCCAATACTGCTAAACTGTTTATTAACACTGTGAAGTTAGTATTTGTCTTTTTGTTTTGTCTTTTGGTTGAAGTAAATTTATTCGGTTGCTGCCAATTCTGCTAAACTGTGTATTCTTTAACACTGTGAAGTTAGTATTTGTCTTTGTTTTGTCTTTTGGTTGAAAGTTTGAAATATATTTGTCTTTGTTTTCACTGATTAAATATCATGTCTGTTTATTTACTGATATTTGTATTTAATTATTTAGCGGACCGATAAGGTGGATGCTTTATGTCGGGTTTTTCTTGCACGACAGAGTTCACGTATCAGACGGCGTGCACGTGCTATTAAGTCTCCGTATACCCCAATAGTGCGAAGACACCGCAAGAAGAAGCCCGACTCGCCTGTCATCCCTCAAGAGTCCACTCCTATCGTTGAAGAGGCCCCTATTATTCCTCGAGAGTCCCCTCTCACCATTCAAGAGGCCACTGTCATCCCTCAAGAGTCAACTCCTATCGTTGAAGAGGCCCCTATCATTCCTTGAGAGTCCCCTCCCACTGTTCAAGAGGCCACTGTCATCGTTGAAGAGGTCTCTCCCACCATTCAAGAGCCCGATTCACATGGCATCATATGTAGGATTCTTGAGAAACCCTCTGACGTGCCGGGCATGATGGATTCAAGTTGGCTCTCGTATGAGTTACCGGCCAGTACCATACCGGTATCTGAAGTGGAGAGGAAACAACTACCAGACACAATTCTGGATAACACCCTTTGGGCTAAGACCGTAGTTGATTTTTATCTACATGAGCGAAGCCAGGGGTGTTTCACTGACATATGCAAGCTCAATGATGATATTTATTTGTTGCTTGATCGGTCTTGGTGGGGCGTATTATTAGGGGTCGAAGACAATGGCTATTTCGATGGAGGGGTAAGTCTTATATTTTCTTATATTTAATTTGATTTTTTTTTGTAAATTTATGTAAGTTATTAATATGTCTTTTTTTGTAAAACAGCATATCGATGCGTGGGTGTCACGTTCTAATATTAGGAAACTTAAGGAAAATAAAAGAAATACACGATATACAATTATGCCGACGTCTTTTAACGCCGTTCACTTGAAGAATCAACGAGATGAATCATTTGCGTTGGGCAATGGACAAGCTAAACTTTATCCTGCATGGTGGGAGGTCAATAAGGTTAGTGTTTATTTTAGATTAAGTTTAAAGGTATTCATAAATAAGTGCGCAAATGAATGAATTATTACTTATGATTGTAGGTGTTTATCCCTGTTTTGGAACGTAACCATTGGCTTCTCGTCGAGCTTCAGATCCATCCCTTAAGGCAATAGTATATGACAGCATGATAAATTACATATCATTGGCTGATTTAAGAGATATTATTAAGGGATGGAGCTTATATTTGCTAAATTCTTGGATACGATAAATTATTGGACTCGTTCTGGAAACAAGAAGCCAAAGAAGCTCAATATTACAGTTAGCAGAGACGAGACCGCACCACAACAAACGAAAGGACCTAGAGGGGATTGTGGTCCTTTCGTATGCTTGGCGTTGGACCGTTTGATCACAGGAAGT